AAAAAAAAAAAAAAAGTCACGCTGGAAACTGCTAGAAGTGATTATTAGGAATGTATGATTATTTCAGCCAGTTAGATATTTTAAGAGAAAAAGTTATTGATCATATACCGACATGTCAGGCGACTGTATACAACGTGGGACTGAGGCACACAGCAAGGCAGATGGTGACCAGCCACAGGATACTACACTCTGTGTGCCCACAGGGAAGGCGCTTGTGTGCAAAGACTGCAGCTCTGCTCTCCTTAAGTGAGCAGCCTCCCCAAATAGGAAATGACCCCTAGGCTAGTTATAGGACTTTGTGATCAGACTCTCCCAGAGAAAATGGCTACATTGGGAGGGGAAGGGGCCCAAAAGGGGGGCTTCTCTGCAGCGTAGGAGCATGCAAGAACAAGACCAACGTGAAGAGCAGCCCTGCTGAGTCAGGAAACTCGCTCTCCAGGTCCTCCCAACCAAGACCACAAGCCCCGCACAGACCCACTGACCCAGAGCCTCCTCACTGCCCTGCTGGCTGGAACGGCAGCTTCAGAGGACTCCTGCCACCACCAACCCCAGAAGTCCCCAGCCGTTGGTTCTTGTGGTGCCTGTGCTCCCCCCACAACTCCCCAAGGTCCCTCAGCCTCTACTCAGGTGTCGCCGCATCACCCAACTTCCCACTTGTTTTTCTGAATACGGTCACTGGGAGGGATGGTCCCACCTTTTACTCAGGAGGCTGCTGGCTGCAGCCCTTACCACGGGCTTGCCAAGAGGGGAGTGTTGGAAGGGCAAGCCCTCTGTGGTCTGGCTCACTTCACCATCACCCAGTTTCTTCTCCATCAGGGAAAAGGGTTTCTTGTTGGGACCTGAGGACACAGGGGTCAGAACAGTTTATGCTTCCACATATCACCTGATACTGGACTTTTTCACTTTCTGAGAAAGTAATATTCTTTTAATTGTCACAGGAGGTTACAAAAGAGCCCAAGGAAAAACCTAAGAGACAAAAAGATCCACTCGGAGCCAGCCTCCCCCCAGCACAGGGGAAGGGGCTCACACTCAAAGGTCAAAGGGCATTGTACACAGAGCATTAAAGACTGTGGGAAGAATAACGGAAAACTCACTTATTTTCTTCTTGTGCCAAAAGATAGTCATGTCTTTATGCAAACCTTTCCCCTTCTTTCTAGCCAGGGCTGCTGATGCCTAGAAAACAGTCCACAACCACTAGATGTGAGGCTATCAGGAGACCAAAGGAAACAAGATTGAAAACTCAAATGCAGTGAGCAGGACAGACCATTCATGGCACAAGGGGGCGCTGTCCACTGTACGCAGGGAGACGCCCCCATTCTCTGCCCACCTGTCGTGCCCCAGCTGTAACAGCCACGGCCTCTTCCCCCTTACCTGTCTCAGGGCATGCACTGGCTCTTCTCCTTTTTGAAATTAACAACCTTTAAAAGTTGCTGGGATAAAAACCCAGAAATAAATTTAGCCTGTTTGGCACTGGGTGAGATGATTCTCACTAGCTGATTACATACACAGAAACAGAAAGACTGCTAAGTTACACTTACACACAAAAGGAAGCTGCAGAATGATATATAAGGGATACCATTTATCATGAAAAACACATTAATATACCTGCAGATACACTTATAAAAGTGTCTAGAAAAACGTACACCGTACTAGGTAATTGGGGTTTCTCCAGGGTAACAAGAGAGATGAAGAGTAACCAGCTCCGTCTATATCCATGAATTGTTTACAATGGCAATGTATTAGTTATGTAATAAAAATATTTAAGATTCAGCTGGGAGAATAAGCATATTGTAACAGACAAAAAGTAACTTTCTTTAATAATGAGTATTACCATTTGACCCAACAATTCCACTCTTAAAAATATACCCCAGGGGCCGGCCCGGTGGCGCACTGGATAGGTGCACCGCTTGGGAAGCGCGGCGGCGCTCCCACCCGAGGGTTCGGATCCCACATACAGACCGGTTCCCGCTCACTGGCTGAGCGAGGCACGGGAGCAACACCGAGTGTTGCGATCCCGTTGCCGGTCCCCGGTCCGGTACGGGGGCAACACTGAGGGTTGCGATCCGTTGCCGGACACGGAAAAAGACAAAAAAATATATATATATACCCCAAAAAACTGACAGCAGAGACTTGAATAGGTACTTGTATGCTAATGACCACAGCAACATTACTTATTTAATTTTTTTTTTTGGTAGCTGGCCAGTATGGGGCTCTGAACCCACGACCTGGGTGTTGTAAGGGTGCCCTCTAAACAACTGAGCTAACTAGCCAGCCCCTCACAGCAGCGTTATTAATAATAACCAAAAGGTGGAAACAACACAAGTATCCATCAACAGATGAACGGATGAACATACTGTGGTCCATCCATAGAATAGAATATTATTCACCCATAGAAAAGAATGAAGTTCTGACATATGCTACCACAGGGACAAACCTTGAAAATATTATGCTAAGTGAAATAAACGGGACACAAAAAGACAAATACTGTATAACTCCATGTAAACAAAATATGTAGGATAGGCAAATTCATACAGATACAAAGTAGATTAGAGGTTACCAGGGGCTTGGAAGGGGAGATGGGGAGTTATTGCTTAATGGTTTTGCAGTTTCTGGATGGAATGATGAAAAGGTTCTGAAAATAGATAGTGGTGATGGTCGTACATCACTGTGAATGTAATTAATGCCACCGAATTGTTTTTTTAAAAAATCAATAGGAGGGCTGGCCCATGGCTCACTTGGGAGTGCGTGATGCTGATAACACCAAGACCATGGGTTCGGATCCCTATATAGGGATGGCTGGTTAGCTCATTGGGAGAGCATGGTGCTGACAACATCAAGTCAAAGGTTAAGATCCCCTTACCGGTCATCCTTAAAAAAAAAAAAAAAATCAATAGGAAGGAATAAATAGCAAAAGTCTTAAAACTGTAAGCATATTTTGGCACAAAAATTCCACTCACAGGGATTCAAACACAGGATATAAACTAATGAGAAATGTATGCACAAAAACATCAAAAAAATAGAAAAATAGCTAAGTAAACAGGATAGAATGCCATGTAGCATTTAACAATTACATTCCAGTTGAGACTATTTATTGATTTCAGAAAATACTAGGGCCGGCCCGGTGGCGCATTGGAGAGTGCGCCGCTTGGGAGCGCGGCGGCGCTCAGGGTTCGGATCCCATGTGGAGACCGGTTCCCACTCACTGGCTGAGCGCAGTGCGGGTGCAACACCGAGGGTTGCGATCCCGTTGCTGGTCCCCGGTATGGGCGCGACACCGAGCGTTGCGATCCCGTTACCGGTCAGTAAAAAAGATAAAAAAGGAAAAAAAAAGAAAATACTAAAGATTGCTACACAAAGAGGTTATCAAACAGTATATGCAGTATGATCCCATTTGTGTAAAAACAATATGACTACATATTTGCAAAGACATTAACCAAAATATTCATAGGCAGTATTTTAGAGGGTAGAATTTGGGTGCTTCTGTGCCCCCAATAAGGCTTTCTGGGTTTTTTCTCTACACTGACAGGTAATACTTCTATCATTAAAAAAAGTTATGAAAACACATTTTCTACTTCATAAATTCCCACAGAACTTAATTTTTCCCATAAGAACATTCAGAAAAAATAATAAAGACATAAAGCTACATAATGTGAGCATCCCATGTACACGTGCACCCTACAATGTATCATGCATACATTTAAAGTAATTATACAAACTCAATAACTAACAGCTGTTATCTCTGTGAGATGGTATTATGAGGGGATTTCACTTTTTCTGTGTTTTTTGAATATTTATAGTGATCAGGTACCGTGACCAAATAAAACAAAAACAAAACCAGAAAATTCAGTTTTGAAAAAGTGATATGTGGCTACAGAACCACTCCCAAGCCTTTCAGACGAATATGATTTCATGGGAACTACGCACTCAGCATTTCTAGAGCAGTGCATTCTGTAGGCCCTTTGAGCTTTCCAGAAACAACTGCAACTTGTGAAAGAAATAGTGCTATCCGGACCTCTCCAAGTTAAGAATAAGATATTTGGGTAGTTTTCCCATATTCTAGCAAGCAAATAACTAATCGATTTAAAAAAAAAACGTTTTAAAGTAACAAAGTTTAAATTTAGGGTAACAAGTAGCAAGTACTCACATGATCAAAAAAATGCACCACTGCAAGCTTTTTGCTGCGCCTCGTAAAGATGCGCTGCACTTTAGCAATTTTGCCAAAGTGGTTCTCCAGAGTGGTTCTGTCGTTGAGATAGTCAGGGATGTTTTTGCACTGGATGGCTGTGACTTCAGAGGGAGATAAGCCCCCAAGACTATCTGTGCTCTCTCTTCTTTTATTCTGACACACAGGAGTTCCTCTCAGAGAATCTAGGGGTTCACAGAATGGACACATAAACCCATCAGATGTAACACTTTTTTTTTTTTTTGTTAAAAGATGACCGGTAAGGGGATCTTAACCCTTAGCTTGGTGCTGTTGGCACCACGCTCACCCAGTGAGCTAACCGGCCATCCGTATATGGGATCCGAACCCGGGGCCTTGGTGTTATCAGCACCACACTCTCCCGAGTGAGCCACGGGCCGGCCCAGATGTAACACTTTCAAATAACAAGGGGCACCAACAGTGTAAAAGCAAAGGAAATTTTCATGATGTAAGACCTGCTCAAAGGTCCTATATGTTAGGATCCTAATGTTTACAGGGCATTTATCAAAAAAATGAAGCTAACACCCAGAGAAACTTACTGAGAACTTACCAGCAGGATTTACTCTATGTTGTACACTTTTAGAGCTCACCTTCTTTTTTATCTCTACTTTCAGTTTCTTCCTCTTTATTCACACCTGGGAGCCGGGAAGGTACCAGGACAGACTGACTCCCTCCTGGGATGGCCACATGGTCACTTTCCCCAGACTCGACAAAGCCAATTTCTTTTTTAGATTCCTTGTTGCACAGACGACCTACTTCTTTATTGCTTTTGAAGACATCCTGTATTGTCCGACCAAACAAAGTGCCTCCCCGGGGTCGATTCAGGCGGACAGGTCGTTTATCCGGAGGATGATCACCCCTGGACAGGGGGTCTGAGTCTTCGGCAGTCTCATGGCTGTGTCTCCTTGGGGAGCGATCCTGGTCCTCTTTCCTTTTCAGTCCTTTCACGAGGCTAGGAAATGGCTCCATCTGGGAAGCAACTTCTTCACATCCTTGTCTGATACCTGTTTTGCTAACTGGGAAGGGTTCACTCAAAGACCCAGAAGATGATATGGGGAAGCTACTAAAGCTACTATTAGAACTTCCAAATATTGATTTAGGTCCTCTCTTCTCTTCCTCTACATTTTGGTTTGACAAAGCAGGGGTAAAGGCAGATGATGAATTACTACTATTAACTGGTTTTGAAAAGGTAAACTTTGAATTGGTAGATGAGCTACTTGTTACCTGAGGAAAAGGAAAAGAGGCCAGGCCCCCAGGTCCACTACTAATTGGGTGGGAAAATGAGAAAAACCCAGAAGTAATTTGGCTCTGGGTTTTTTCTGGCTCAGATTCAGCCCCCAATATTGGTCTGAACACTGCATTTTCCAGAGGTTTAAAGCCGAATTCTGTTTTCCCAAAACCAGAACTTGCTATTTCTGCAGCTTCTGATCCAAAAGTAGAAGTACTTGGGAAAACCCCAAGGTTGGTGGGTGATTTAAAACTAAATCCTGGGTTTCCAGGCACAGATGACCTTGAAGGCCCAGACGTAGCTACAAAAGTGGGAGTGTGTTCAAGGCCAGAAAAGAGTCCAACACTTGAGGTTTGGGTGAATCCCAATGTTTGCACTGAAGAAGCATGACTTACTCCAGAAGACGCTGGAAAGCTGGGTACCTGGGAAAATCCTGAGCTCTTCCNTGGTGGGTGATTTAAAACTAAATCCTGGGTTTCCAGGCACAGATGACCTTGAAGGCCCAGAGGTAGCTACAAAAGTGGGAGTGTGTTCAAGGCCAGAAAAGAGTCCAACACTTGAGGTTTGGGTGAATCCCAATGTTTGCACTGAAGAGGCATGACTTACTCCAGAAGACGCTGGAAAGCTGGGTACCTGGGAAAATCCTGAGCTCTTCCCAGATAAAGTATTGTTTTGTCCAAAAAGAGAAGGCTGACCAAATTGGAATGGAGGCTTAGTCTGAAATGCTCCTATGGAACTACCAGAAGATGCCGGAAATGCAGTAGGCTGCTGCCCACTGAAAGGATTGGTTGGGTTCATCTTCTGATCCAATTATTAAAAGGTAGTAAATACTATGTGTACAAAATTAGTCCTCTTCCTTAAACAATCTGTTGCACTGCGGAGCTCCTCTTCATCTTCAGGATAAGCTGAAAGACAAAAATTCAGATCATCAGTTATGTCCTGCTAGAAGACTAAGAAAAGAATCTTTAATCACATGTCATACTCTAAGGATAATTGTGTAAAAGGCAGGCAAAGCAAAGGACTGAGAATCCTTATTTTCTGAGAGCCAATAGGATCCTTTGTTAGAGGATGGGGTAGAGAGTAGCACAAACAAATTACATTGTTACGGAAGTTAAAGCGCGACCCTTTAAGATTTTTTTTGAAAATCCGAATCATTTTACTGAGTTGGTAAATTCACAAAACCTCAATTGATAATAAGAAACGAACGCCATTACACCTTTCAACTTAAAGAGGAGAATTTCTCCTACCTTCTTCCAATCTCCATAGCCGGGGAATTACAATGTAATACTGTTAAAACATTAGTGTTTCAGCGTTTCCTCCCACTTAATATTTCTCCGAGTAACCGACCCTCTAAACACTTCTCCCAGTTGTTTTCTCACACCCTGGCGACCACCCCAGGAACTGGCTCAAAGGGTGAGACCGCCCACAAGGCGATGCGGCCTCTCCGCAGGGAGGGCGGGACAGGGGAGGGGAACCTTTCACCCAGCACAATCCCAAAAATGTGCGAGGCCGCAGGGGGTGAGGGATGAGGCCGGGCGCTCGGCCCCGCCCCG